ATACCAAGCTGTTTTCAGGAATATAGCTCTATAAGAGAGCTTGAAGTAATGGATGGTGATGCCTCTGGAAGCTCCTTTATTGTACAGGGTTGTTTTGGTTATCTTGGGTCTTTTATTTTTTCATATACTGTTGAGTATTGTTCTTTCAAGGTCTGTGCTTAGCTTTTGATGGGAATTGCATTGAATCTGTAGATTGCTTTAGTAAGATTGCCATTTTACACTATTGATCCTACCTATCCAAGAGCCAGGATAATGGTATGTACTTACTCATATATGGATTTTAGACATGGAGCAGGGCATTGCCAGCCTACAACCCCACCACCAGAGAGTCTGAGGTGCAGGGAGGACCCTAAGAGAGATATGCATGGTAACCCAGAGAAGGGTGAGGGGATGGGATCTCCTAATTGGATTGGGGGGGGAGAAGGGTAGGGTAGAAGGAGATGGGAGAAAGAGAAAGAGAAAAAGAAAGAGAAAGAGGAGGGGAGAGGAGAGGAGTACATGGGAGAGCAGGAAGGTTGAGCCAGGGTAAGGATAGAGGAGAAATGGATGGGAGATCCCAGAAATGAGGGATCCAATATAAGTTGGAGGAGAGATCTGGCACTAGTGAGATCTTTAAAAATCTACAACAATGACACCAACTGGCATTAAGGCTACCTTAAATGCCCTCCCATGATAATGAGAATGATGAGTACCTTGTATGCCATCCTAGAACTCTCATCCAATGGCTAATGGAGGCAGAGGCAGACCCCCACAGCTGTGAACCAAACTGAACTCCTGGAACTCAGTTGCAAAGAAGACTGATGATAAAGGAATCATGATCTGGCTGGCAAACCCAAAGAGTTAGCTGACCTAAACAAGTGGGAACACATGGACCCCAGACTGATGACTAAGGGGCCAGCATGGGACTGATCCAGACACCCTCCCACCGAACCTGGGTGACAGAGAGGTGGCCCTGGCAATCCGTGGGACCTGGGAGAGTGGAGCAGTATTTATTCCTGGCATACTGGATTCTGGGAACCCATGCCACGTGGAGGGATGCTCTCTCAGCTTGGACACATGAGGGAGAACCTAGGCCCTTACCGGGATGATGTCACAGACCCTGAAAATCCCTCATGGAGGCCCTTGCCCTCCCTGGGGAGCAAAGGGGGAATGGAGTGGGGGTGATGGGTTGGGAGGATTGGAGGGGAAGAGGGGAGAGAGAACTGAAACTGACATGCATAAAAAGTTAAATAAAAAATATTTGGGAAAAAAGAGAAGTCCCCGCTTATGTGTTTTTGAATAAAGTCACTTCTGGATCACAGACTTCAGTTGTCTGTTCTCCATTATTTGCACAATTCCAGGATTCTACAGTGCTAAGAATAAATTATATTCTTTTGTGTTCCCGTGAAATGTTCTATTAGACCCATTTGAATAATAACATCTATTAACTGCATTATTCCTCTGTTTAGTATTTGTCTAGATAACCTGTCCATTAGTGAGAGTGGTGTGTCAGTATTCTGTTATATGTGGGTCTGTGGAAGAATTTGATCACTCAAAGAGGAATTTTGGCTTTGCAAAGTACCAGGGGAATCAGATTCTGGTGAATTGACTGCTGGTTGCCTCATAAAAATTGCTATCTTAATACAATTTATACATAGTAGCAAATCAATTTGTGCATACCAAGACGTCTTATTTGGAGTTGTTTGAAGGAAGCATCATCTGTCCAAGCACTTCTCAGCAGTAAGACGTCTTAGTTATCCAAGTCCTCTCATAACTAAGTTTGCAAAGACTCTGAATCTTTTATGAATAACTCAGATAAGAATCAAACACTTCACACAAAGGGTAGCAATCACAAAATGTAGTTCAAACCTGTGTGCTGATGTTCTGGAATTCAAACCAGAGGCAATGATCTGAGTGATCTCTCCATAAAGTGAGGTACTAAAGTCTCCCACTATTATTGTATGGGAATTGATATATGATTTAAGCTTCAATAAAGTTTTGTTTGTTTGCTTTTCTTTTGTGTTTCTTTTTTTATAGAAATATAATTGTCTTTACATCTTTGGGTCAATGATGTTCTGAATTGAAATGTCATATTAATAGGTGTTATTCCTTTGATGAATATGAAGTGTCCTTCCCATATCTTTTTTTAATTTATTAATTAGAATTGCTTCATCAGCTTGCTTCTTGGAGGCCTTGCTTGGAAAAACTTTTCCAACCCTGTACTCAGTTAATATATGTCCTTAATTTTAAGATAAGTTTCTTACGTGCAAAAGAAGGATGGGTTTTGTTAGCCTATAACTTTTGATTGGTGAATTGAGTTCATTGATATTAAGAGATACTAATGACAAAAGCTTGTTTATTCCTGTTATTTTATTGCTTCTGGTGGTGGTAGTGTGTATATTTCTCTTCTTTTGATTTCACTGGCATTCTCATGGTGTAGTTAGCCTTCTTGGGATACGATTTTCCTTCTAGTGCCTTCTGTAGGGCTAGATTTGTGTATAGATATTGTTTAACTTTGAATTCATCATGGAATATCTTATTTTCTCCATCTATGATGGTCTAAAGCTTTGCTGCATATAGTAGTCTGGACTGGAATCTGTGTTCTCTTAGAGTCTGTAGGACACCTGTTCAAAGCCGGGAGTTGATGGTGCATACCTTTAATCCCAGCACTTGAGAGGTAGAGGCAGGCAGATCTCTGCGAGTTCAAGGCCAGCCTGGTCTACAGAGTGAGTTCTGGGATAACCTCCAAATCAATATAGAGAAACCTTGTCTCGCAAAAACAAAAAACAAAAACCCCAAAAACACACCTTTGAGATTTCATCTACACAGAGTTGAAATAAATTCAAGAATACCCAAAACACCAAAACTGGAGAAGATACAGGAAAAAGGTAACCCTTATTCACTGTTGATCAAATTGTAAGCTGGTAAAGCCAGTTGAAAATAGGATGTGTGAATTATAAATAGATAATTATGTTAATAAACAAATAATTTGTCATTTGACCCTACAATACCAATCATTGAACAAAGGACTTAATATTCTAAACCACAGATTACTATTCACACATGTTCATTGCAGCTCCATTCACAATAGCTAGGAAATGGAAATGATCCAATGACTTTCAACTGATGAATTGATATGAAGACATAGTACATATACACAGTGGAATTCTATTTGTTTGAAAATGGGAATCTTAAATTTGAACATAAATAGATGGAAATAGAAAATATTGAATTGGGTAACTTTGAACCAGGAAAAATAAACACCATATGGTCCCTCTTACTGGGGATAACTAGATCCAAATCTTTGGTGTCAGTATATAATCTAGAGTTACTTAAAAAAACAGAAAAACACAAATAGATGATGGGGTGGGCATCTACTCTAGACAGGAGAATAATGGTACAGATGCTATGAAGTGGCAAATAGAAAACAACTTTGGGGTGTTGTATTTGTAGAGGGTGAGGGAAAATAGTCTTAAAATGAAAATAGTAAAAACTGATAAATACTAATAAGAATGCTTGAAAAAGTCATGGTGAATCACATTATTAGTTTTCCTAAAATTATAATAATATGCACACATATATGCAAATACGCACACATACACACATACACACACACGCACACACACATGCATCTACATATGCATGCACAGCACTCCCAAAACACAATGTGCTATTGTTGTTGCTCTTAGCAGCTTCACATAAATTTAAAGTAAGTCTTTATTGTAAAGACACACAGGATTCTGATACAGGACTTGAACTTCAGTGAACATACCTGAATTGTGCCTAGAACCCTATTCTGTGAAGACTGGCATTCATAGAACAGCAAAGTGCTGTATAACCCCCAAGTTGCCAAAGGAGTAAAACAGTTAATATTTCTACCCAGCTGTGACACCTAGAAACCACAATAATAACCAGCATGGAAAGCTGTCACTAAAGGTGAAATAGTGGCAGTAAAATCATGACAGTAAACAATATCAATGAACTTACACTTAAAGCCCACTCAATATGGAAAACTTCATGTCTGGTTCTATAAACAAGGCCAACTATGAGTTGCCAATGAGGTCATGGAATGTAGAGAACAATCTAATAGTAACACTTTCCTAAACAAGTATAATATCTAACTGCATATTTAGCACTGATCATCTAACCCACAGCTAACTGTAACTCTTCTTACAACAGATGGAGACAATTACAGAAATCTATATCTGGTCCTGGTTTAAATACAGGGAACAATTGATGGTGGGATGAAGGGCCATAATTAATCGTCCACAATACAACCAATCCATCTAGGACTCAGAGAAATTTTGGAGAAAAAAGAAGAATGCTCTAAGGGTCAGAGGACAAGGAAAGCAGTGATGATATTTGGTCTTCTCTGTAAGACAGGAGAATGGCACTATGATTCTCAACAACATAGTTTGTTAAACCTGAGCCAAAAATTATACTAGTTGATATTCCAATGTAGAAGGTGAAAACCTCAGGGACTCTTCTCCTAGATGAAGACCTATAGTCAATTTATGAACACTAAACACAGAATCAGTCTTCCTAGTGATAAGCCCCTAATATATGTACATACATAAATAAATTTGAAAGATAACGGGGGAATCACATGAGTGACTGGAGAGGTTGGAGTAAATGATGTGATTAAAGTATTTACATAGATATTCTGAAGGTAAATTAAAATAAATATGAGCAAAATGGTCATGTTTTTCGCAATTAAGAATGAAGTATAAATAAAAGTAATGTTCATCAAACAGGAATAAAAACAAACACAGGATGCTGACCTATACATAATGAGTCTGTGAATACATGTCTTTACTATTGGTTTACTTTGTTTATTCTGTGAAAACAAGAGAGTAAATATGTGCATAGAAAACTGAATTTGAAAATTATAAGTGTAAAAATTATCAGTTTCCTAGAAAATGAATAAGAATTCTTACCAGTATAATGAATTAAATAACAAAAATTCAAATTATACATTTATACATAACTTTTTTAATAAATAATTCTCACATTACTTTTGACTACATGAATGTTTTTCTTTGAAGTATTTTCTTCAGGGCAACAGTGACATCCTTGTTTCTCAGGCTGTAGATCATGGGATTCAGCATGGGAACAACAGTAGTATAAAACACAGAGGATACTTTCCCTTGGTCCATTGATTTCACTGATGATGGCTGTAAGTACATGAATGCAACAGAACCAAAATATATACCAACAGCCAAGATGTGGGAACTGCAGGTACTAAAGGCTTTGGACCTGCCCTGGGTCGATTGAAGGCTGAGGATACTGTCAATAATGAAGATGTAAGAAGTAATAATGGTCAAGGTTGGTACAAATATGATCAGTATATCAAAAATTAGAATCAATAATTCATTAATGTATGTATTAGAGTGTGCAAGCTTCAAGAGGGGAAGAAGATCACAGAAATAGTGATTGATCACATCTAGTTTGCAGAACTGAATCCTTATCATGAAGCCTGTGTGAACTGATGCACAGATCACACTAAAAATATACACTCCTGCAATCAGGGAACTGTAAATGTGATAGGACATGGTGACACTGTAAAGCAAGGGGCTACAGATGGCAACATAGCGGTCATACGCCATGGCAGCTAACATGTAACATTCTGCAACGCCAAAAATGATGAAGAAATAGAGCTGAGTCATGCATTCAGTGTAGGAGATGAGATTCTTCTCTGTCACAAAGTTCACCAGCATTTTAGGGGTAACAACTGTGGACTGACAGAAGTCAATGAAGGACAGACTGCTGAGGAAATAATACATGGGGTTGTGCAGGTGGGAACTTAGCACAATTAATGCGATCATGCCCAGATTGCCGGCTGCAGTGACCACATAGATTCCTATGAAGAGGAGGAAAAGGGGCATTTGGAGTTCTGGCTTCTCTGAGAGTCCAGCCAAGATGAACTCAGTGACTGTGCAGTGGTTTCCTGCTGTCATGTTCTTCATTCAGATTCTTAAGAATTTGAGGTGGTATCTCAAGTGTTTAATCCTGTCACTAGGGAAGCAGAATAGGCAGATTACTGTGAGTTCAAGGCCAGTCTGGTCAACACAGCTAGTTCTAGGAGAGGCAAGACTACAAAAAGGAACTTTTGCAAATATGTATATATATATATATGTATATATATGTATATATATATATATATAGAGAGAGAGAGAGAGAGAGAGAGAGTTGTCAGTGACTTTATTATTCTTTTCCATGTACACAAAGTCCACATATGAATTATTTCTGCTTTAGAATACTTTTGCTCTCTATATAATTACCTTAATGTATCATTTAGAAAAATACATTTTATCTTTTGTTACTATTTTTAAACATATCCTTAAGAAATTAAGAATGATTTTCATATAAAATACTATCATTCTGTCAAAGCTTCGATAATTTTTGTGATTTCAAAGCAATGTCCGTAAATTGAGATGTAGAGTCAGTATCAGTATGGAAAAGTGACAAATTCTTTTGAGGAAGCAAATTTCCCCCAAAACAGTGAATTATTATCCACGATATAATTTCTGCAGAGGATTTTTGCAGCTTTTTTCCAAAAGAAGTCCCTTTTTCCTAATTTGTAAAACACATAATGTCTTTAAATCCCAAACGTGAAAATTAAATGGCATCTGGAGCAGCAATAGCATGATGTACTGCAAAAATATACCTCTAGGATTACCTAGTGGAAACATGGTGCTCCTAGGAATAGATTTCTCTTTGTGACCCAGCTCTTGAGAGGAACAGAGTCAACCAGCAGGGGCTAAACAGTGAAGCCATGAAGGCAATGTGTCCATGCTCACTTACCAATAATGCTACCCTCGGCTAGCACAATGTATATTTTGTTACCTACCATCTAAAAAAGTAAGTATTACTGACATTTTATCACTCAGAAAATCTGCAATATGATTTTGCATTGTTAATTGATATTGACATTTTTTCAAATGATAAACCTGCACTTCTACATATTAAAATTAGAGAAGCAGTCTCGGCTCTGTTCTTATTTTTGCCTTTATTTCTTCTAAATAAAGAAAAACTGTAATGCAGAAACACATACATTCAGGGAAAAATAGATTGATTATCTTCTGTCCTGTTGAATTGTGAAAAAAATTAATCACCGTGTCAAAAAGTTATATCCATAACTGAATTAGAGTTTAGTCATTAAAAAGGCCAAAAGTTGAAATGTTTTTACAATGTAAACATTTATGTCTCGCATGCATTTTTCAACTTCAGGATTTCTTAGAAACTCACACACATAAGTAAAAAACAAAACATACAGTGATGCTAATCATGTAACTGGAGGTGCCAGAAATAATGTAGACAGAAAAAGTAAGATATGTGAAAAACGGTGTTGTTGAAATGATCCAGCCAAGTTATGATTTTACAACAACAACAATACTCTGTCTCCATTGCCCACAAAGACTGAGCCTGTAAGTAGCTCATCACAGAATTGATGGGGGGAGGGAGAATCTGACACTTCGCCTCCCACTGATCTTCCAGTTACTAATAGATTCTGGAATGGGCAAACAATGTCTTCAGTTGAGTACTTACCCACATGGTTCACATATTCCAATGGATAGTTCTAAACGAATCACCCAGATGGCCTGGTTAAGATGAACAAGTCAGAAAAAAATGGGGAAAATGTTATGACTATAGAAGACAGACTTGTACTGAGGAGTAAGTGTAATATGAGAATATGGGACATAAGACATGTGATGGTGAGAATATTCAGTGTGTATGTGTGTGTGTGTGTGTGTGTGTGTGTGTGTGTGTGTGAGAGAGAGAGAGAGAGAGAGAGAGAGAGAGGGTTATTTTAAGCAGTGATTTGTCTTTTCATACTTTATATCCGTAAAACATGAATTTCTGTCAGATTTCATATTCTAGTAGTCCAATATCATTGATCAATAAACAAGCTTGCTTAGCTATGCTGATTTTCCAAGTTACATTTTTGTAGGCTGACCTAGAACTCACAATACTCTTGCCTATTCACCCTGATTGCTAAGACTTTAAACTGTACCACAACACTTGGTGTTACTTAATTTTTAAAGTAAAGTTCCATCCATTACTTCAAAATGTATTTATTTAGCACTTTCATTTCTGTAAATGACCCACTAACTCCATTTAAATGAATCTTACGATAATTTATGTGTTAAAATTATCATAATATCCCATTAAAATGTCATATGTTGTTCATTCCATAGAAATGGTAACTTTACAACGTCTGTGTTTTTCATAAGATTTTCTTATCTTGAAATGTGTCAAGGTTTTATCATATTTATTAAACATATTACAAAAGTATAAAGTATTACATTGCAGAGATTTTCTTAGTAATTATATTTGGTAAGGTTATTTATATTTTATTCTTAATTTGTTCATTGAGAATTTCATACAGTGTATCTTGAGAATAGACAACCCCTTTCAGGAGTATTCAAAGATCTACCTAGCCCCATTTATGTCCTCATTTTCACCCATAATGCCCAGTTTGTGCTGCCCATGTATTATGATATGTGGCCTTCCACAGGAGTATGATTGACTTACCAGGGGCACTGTTCTTAAAGAAAATTAGTCTCCCTCTCTCTGCAGCCTTCAATTAACAGTGGCTACTCAGCTAGAGAGGAAACCCACCCCCTCTCTCCACACGGCGATTTGGTCTGGATTGGTCTTGCACAGGACTTGTGTATAATATGGCAATCACTGTGAATTCACATGTGCAGCTGTCCTATTTTGTCTAGAGGACATTGTTCCCTTATATTCATCCATCATCTTGGGTAAATGGGTTTTCTCTTTTGGAATTGTTGGTCAGAGAGGTGCCATTAATCCCTAAAAAATTATAAGCTCTTCTCAATGCTATTTGTAAACTCCACAGGTCAATAGAAAGGCCTTGTTGCTGAAGGCAGCCTGTTCTTGGTCACAGAGCATGGAAATATCAGGATGGTACTGGCCTGGAAGTTTCCTTCCTAAATGCTAGATTTCAGCGTAATGGAAGTTGCTATGGATGCTCCTGGAGGAGAAATGTACTCAGCAGTCTCAATCAGCTGTGAAATCTGTGAACTATAATAACATCTGACCTGGCAAGATGTTTTCATTGACACAACCGTGGTGTGAACATAATGGAGGTATTGAACCATTTTCTCTTTCACAAGATGAAACCCACATTTGACATTATTGTCATACCAAGGACCTGTTGCTTTTTAAACTTTTAAAAATATTAGCAAAGTCTATCAAAGATTTTATTGCCCCAAATACCCTGCAGCATTGCATGTCTATATTTTGGGTGTTTATTAGTTATATTGTTTATATAACACACAATGAATTCTTGGATGCTCTTCTAATACATATTGATCAAAGAGCAGTAGTCTCTGCACTAAAAATTCTGATTATATATTTCTTGAGTTTCTCAAGCTCAAGCATACCACTTCTCAGTAAGCTGTGATGTAGTTTCTATTGGCTGTTATACTGGTTGAATCTGCTTTGTCTGATATCTGTGCATCATCACAAGCTTTATATTTGCTAGTCTTTCTGTGTGAAGCAATTAACTCTGTATTTCTATTTTAGTATTGTGTATCCTTATAGTAAACATATTTCAATTGAAAATGAGTGACAAAATATGAACAAGTTAGTACCAAATATCTAGAAGTCAATCTAATGAAAATGTCAGCAATCTGTACATACTGGATGTTTTAAGTAGTCCTGAGAGAACTTAAAGAAAATTTTCTTAGGAAGAGAACTCACCATGTAAACTTTTTGAATGATCATTGTGGTAAAGAAATCAAGTCTCACAGACATGAAGAGAGGTTAATAACCCAATTAGTGGATTTCACATATGAATTAAGAGCATTTAAGACAGCAATGGAATACTTATAACAAACTTTGTCTACTTTGGGTCTTTTCAGAATTTGCAGGAAAAATCAGTATAGCCTGATGTTAAAAGTATACATCTTCAAACATTACAAATAATGGAATTTGGCAACTAACTGTGGATTTAATTGATCCTCAATGCAAAACTTTCTCCTGAATCTCTCTATATTTAACATGCTCTGGCAGGTACTTAGTTTCTTTTTTTAGATGTTATATTTATTGTCATTACTGTGTTTGTCTGTATGATATGTGTGTCCAGGTCTATGCCATGGCACATATGTGAGGGTGGAGAACTTTGGAGAATCTGTTTCTTCATTCTACCATGTTGGTTCTGAGGATAGAATTCAGGTCATCAGGATTGTGTGGGCGGTGCATTTACACTCTTAGTCACCTTGTCTGCCCAGTAAGTGCCTTAAGTTCTAAGAGATTATTGTATATAGTAGCTTTTCAATCAGATGTAAAACACATATGAATATGAAATGTGTATTAATTTATTTATTTTCCAATGCTGTCATTCATTCAAATTAAGATGGTTGTAGCATTAGTTAAAAATTAACAAATGAAATGTAAACATGTTGAGGAAGAAAAGCAAAACTTATTTTCTGTTTATAGTCTTAACCTTATCCCCAAGAAAAATCAGAATTTCTGCAGAAGAGCTTCAATTTAATTTCTAACTCTTCTCAAAACTATCTCTACAGCTGTAAATAATTTGATCTTGTACTCAGTGCCATTAATTTTTATATCATCATTGTACTTGGAAGTTATGTTATATTATAGATAAACTGGTAGCTTATACAACCATTAAAATATTCACAAAACTATTTATTGAATATAGAACTCTTCACCCAGTGCCAAACATCATAAATACAAATCTCTTCAGGTAGTATGGGGAGTTCTGAACTGCCTAAAATAATAAGAATAAAACTATAAAAAACGCAAAATATTTGTGTATTTGGGAGATTTGATTAAGTGAAGTCATTGTAATGCCATGCTCAAAGATAGAATCTGGTATCTTTCTTCACCTCACCTTACCTGCCCCCAGCCCAATCCCCTCACCGGCATCTCTTTCCATGACCTTAGTCATTGTATCAGTAAAAGGTAAAGTGACATA